AGGCGCGCGCGCGCGCGCGCAAACCGAACTAATTGCCCATAGATGAATTTCCCCGTACAATACGAAAATCACGCCTTACCAATTGCCCATAGGGAAAAATTCTCAGTTTTTCGCCCGGAAAGGGACGGAATTCCGAGGTGGAATTCCGTCCCTGAACGCTGCCTGAACGGGACCTATCTGAGACTACAACCCGCGGACTTCGCTCATCGCGCGTCCCCACGCGCTTCCGACTTCCGACGACGACGCGCGCGACCGAAATCGAGCCGCGCGGGGGGCGTCGACGCCCCCGCGCGGCTCACCTCCGCGGCGTCGACGTTGACGACGACGCCGCGACGACCGACGTCGCGGCGAGAAGGACGACGCCCCCGAGGACGGTCTTCCACCCCGGCGCGCGCTGGGCGAAGCAGTCGCGGGCGAACGCGTCGGTCAGTCGTCGGTCGAACGTCTCGCCGGTCGAGCGTTCGTCGAAAGGGAAGCGCGGCGGGCGAAGAGAAACAGAAACGACCGCGGAGTGGGAAAAGACGACCGAGCGCTCGGGAGACGACGACGACGACGACGACGACGACGCGCGAGTCGAGCCGAGCCGAGCCGAGTCGAGCCGAGCCGAGCCGAGCCGAGTATGGCCGAGCGCCGAGCGGGACGTCGTCCGTTCCGTCTCACCGCGTATCCGCACGCGTACGCGATCGCGCTGCCGATGGCGGGCTCGAGCGTCAGCGCGAGAGCGATAGTCATCGCGTCGAAATGCTTCAGCGACGCGTTCACGCCGCCGTGACCGACGAGACCCGGTCCGAGCGCGAGATAACAGACGACGAGCGCCGCGCGCGGGGAGCGGACCCACCCCGCGCCGCCGCCGCCGCCGCCGTCGCTCGAGGACTCCCCGCTGACCGCGGACGCGATCGCGAGACACGCCGCGGCGACGAGCGTCGCGGGGAACGCGTACGCGAAGAGCGGCATCCGTGGCCTGAGCTGTCTCCCGACGAGGACGTGTCCCGCCATCGCGAACGCGGCGCCGACGGAGAGGACGTCGCCGTACCAGGTCGCGCGGATCGGCGAGGCCGAGGACGACGCGTGCGAATCGTCGCCGCGACGGTTCGCGTCCGCTGCGATCAGGATCACGCCGACCGCGGCGACGCCCGCGGCGATCGCGTCGCGTGCGCGGACGGGGAAGCCGAGCAGCGCGGCGCACGAGGACATCAGCACCGGGGTGGAGCACACGAACAGGAGCGAGTGCGGGACCGACGTCGTCTGGAGGCCCCACACCCACAGTCCGAAGTGCGCGCCGAGGCACGCGCCGCTCGCGACGAGTTCGGGTGCGCTCGCGCGAAAGCGCTCGATATCGTCCGCGGCCGCGCGCTTCGCGTCGCGGACGAAGCCGGGGAAGAGGACGATCGACGTCGCTTGCAGTCGCCACGACGCGAGGAGGAGCGGAGGCACGTCGGGAAGCGCTCGGAACGCGACCGCGGCGGAGGAGACCGCGACGACCGCGCACGCGAGGATCGCGAGCGGAGGCACCGCGCGCCTTCGCGTCCGCGCGTCGTCGTCCGCGTCGGCGTCGGCGTCGCTCGCGCCCGGATACGACGACGCGGACGCGACGGGGACGGCGCGCGCTTCGCCCATCTCTCTGTACACGTACGTGTACAGTAAGCCTGCAGTTCAACCCTCACGGAAATAGAATACTGTACGTGTACGTGTACACGTGTACGTTGTACGTGTAAGCTTACTTCGGAAGAAAGTACGAAAGTATTATTTTCGAAAGTACTTTCGTACAACGTTGTACTGTACTCAAAGTACTTTCTAAGTGTAACTTCGAAGGTACTGTTCTACTGTACGTGTACACTGTACACGTACGTGTACTGTACACGTACTGTACTGTACTACGCGAATTAACGTGAATTGACGAAGCTGTACTGTACCTTCGTACAGGTATCTATCTTCAACTGTAGCCCTGCAACGTATGTGCACTACCGGTACGTGTACACGTACACGACTACACGTAGGGCTAGCTAGACTACATGTACAGTACACGTACACGTAGTGAGGATATGCCACTTTTTTTATGATTTACAACTACTGTACAGTACGTGTACGTGTACTGTAACTGTAGAATAAAAGTTGTACGAAAATATTCTATTCCACAATATTAACCGTACGAGTACTGTACGTGTACGTGTACATGTAGTGTAAACGTACTATCGCGGTGTACCTTCGTACGAAAGTACTTTCGTACGAAAGTACAACGCAAACTGCTATTGTACACGTACAGTACGTGTACGTGTACGTGTACACTTGTAGCCATATTTCTTCGTCGAACTGCCAAAACGGTCTGGTACGAGTATTGGGTCGTCGAACGAAATCACGGGCTCAAAGACGCGCGAGGGGCGGACCACCGGGTGCACGTTTCTCTCGTCCGCGCGTCGCGCCCGCAACGCACGGCGCCCCTCGTCATGGGGAAAACACGCGTCATCGAGGTGAGCCACGGTTTAGGGTTAGGATTGGGTCCCGTCTCCCTCCACCCCTTTTTCCGCGCTGAATGAATTTTGGACGATCCGCTGACCGACCCCTCCCCCGACTCACATGACCCTCGCGTTCGCCGACGTACGAGTGGAAGACGATGCTGCAGACGCTGAACCGCGCTCCCACCGCGCTTGACGCGTCCGGTTTCGGCGAGGCTCGACCGCGAGACGACGGCGACGACGAGGACTACGACGACGGCGCGTTCGCGCGCGCGACGACCGGACTGAAGCGAACGGCGATCGACGAGAAGCCGGAGGCGATCAACCGCGCGCTGCACGCGTCCACGACGCGGACGTCCATCGCGTTCGGGCGCGGCGATTGCATCGGGCGCGGCGCCGCCCCGGTCGTGAGTTTCCGAGCGAAGGCCGCGTTCAGGGACTACGAGCGGTCGATCTCGGGCGCGAGGGCGGCATCGAAAAAAGAAGACGCGGCGTCGAAGAAAACGACTCGACAGGAGCGGACGATCGCGACGGAACCCCGCGGACGCAGACCCGCGGACCGCGTCGCCGCCGCGGCGACGTCGAGACGCCACGAGAGGGACTGGGACGGCCGGCGCGTGCGAGGAGGACAGCGAACGGACGCGACGGAGAAGCTTCGAGCGATGATCGCGGCGGATGACAAAGCGACCGCGGCGCTCAGAACGACGACGACACCGCTGGAGCGACTCGAGACGCGACGCTCGCGCGCGAAGGTGGCGGCGACGCGGCCGCCGATGGACACGTACGCGCTGAATCCGTCGCAAGGTCAGGAGCTGCGCGCGAAGGTGATAAGATCGATCAAAGAGAAGGGGGGGGCGCAGGCGCCGTATTACCCGATGGGGGCGTACGTCGATGCGGATCCGTTTCCGTTCGCGCGCGAGCCCGGCTGGGAGGACAATCACCTCGAGTTGTTCCACAGGCATCACAGAGAGCTCCGTGCGAGCGATAAGGACGTGCTGTTGGGAAAACAGATCGACGTTCGGACGACGTTTATCGCGGAGAGGGAGGCGAAGACGCTCGCGGACGAAGAAGCCGCGCGCTCGTCGGGGGTGTACTGGGGGAAGGACCCGTCGAAGGGCGCGAGACGCGACTTACACGTGCCGCGCCGCGGCGGATTATGGGAACGAGATCCCGCGGACGGCGCCGTGCACTACCCGGGGCGGATTGTGGGGTCGAAGTACGAGGCGGCGTGCAGCGCGTACGCGACGCGACTCTTGGAATCCGGGCGCGCGGCGACGGCGACAGCGACGGCGACGACGACGACGACGGCGTGCGACGATGCGTCGGCGGCGCGTCTTCGTCAGACGCGCGACGCGCCCCAGCGAGAAACATCGTTCGGGGGCGTGAAGACGGAACCGGTTACGCACCGCATCGTCTTCGGGCGGACGATCGGGTACGCCTCGAGCGGCGGCGTCGCGTCTCACCTCGGCCTCGGGTTGCACGCGCTCGACGGCAACGGCGACGGCGACGTCAGCACGATGGAAATCGCCGCCGCGCGCGCGTCCGGGGGATCGAGCACGTACGACGTGCGTACCGCGAGCGCGTGTGGGTTGGACGCGAGGAAGAGTAAGCCTTGGGCGACGGGAGTGGGGCGCGGGAGCGCGAGCGGCGGCCCTCGCAAGAGCGCCGCATCTTAGTCTAAAGTCTCGTGTACGTGTACGTGTACAGAACTACGAAAGTACCTTCGAAGGGAAAGTACTTTGTACCTTCGTACGAAGGTAACAACTTATGGCTGCACTATGATATCATATCACAAATGCAGCTGAGTACTCATAGAATATCTCCAAAGATAGAATACGTGTACACGTAGGGCTACGTGTACTTCCGTACTGTACTTCCGTACAGTACAATGACAGGGCACTGAGTCAGTAGTCTCGCTAGTACGTGTACGTGTACACACATAAGTACAAAGTACGAAAGTAGGTCAGTATTCTACCTTCGTATCTGTTACCTGTAGCTCCTGTCAGTAACAACTTTTACTGTGTCAGTCTTCACAATTCAGATTCGAGCGCGCTTGAGAAGCGAGCACGCAAGCCCCGCGATGGCCGCGCCGAGGATGAAACCGCCGCGATGTTCGTGGTCCGTCGCCGAGGCCGAGACCGAGGACGCGTGCACCGTCGTCGACGCGCGCGGCGCCTCCGAGACGAGCGGAAACGCGCGATCCGGTCCTCTGCTCCGCCGCGTCCGCGTCTTGACCCATCGCGAAGCGTTCAACGGCGGGTTCGAGCGCGCGGTCGCGTCCGTCTCGTCCGTTGCCGCGGACGCGTGCCTCCTCGAGCGCCTCACCGCGAAAGCGTCCGCGCACTGCGAGGTCACGATCCCGCTTCCGTCGTCCGCGGCGGTCCGAACGATCTCGATCGTGTCCAGCGCGAAGACGGTCGAGCTGTACGCGATCCATCCGACGCTGAAAGAAAGGCAGTATGTCCGGACGATACGCGGCACGCCGACGTCGTCCGCGGCGTGCGCGAACGCGGTGGGTGGGGAATACGCGTCCAGGGCGGGCTTCGTCGGCGAGCGTCGAGCGGCGGGGACGCGAATCGACGACGACGACGACGTCGCCAACGACTCGACACGGAAGCAGATCCGTCTCGACGACGACGACGACGACGCCCTGACCGCGCGGCGGAAACCCCCCGGGTCGTCGAGCGTCGGACACACTCCGGGAGGCACTCGCGTGGCGAGGATACTCCGTCGCGGCGGCGATGGCGGCGGAGAAAAGGGCCGCGTCTTTTTCGAGTGCGCCGCGTCTGTGGGCCCGAGCGAATGCACAGCGCTCCTCGTCAAGCTGTTCCCGACGCACCCGGAGGACGCCGCGGGACGAAGGGTGTTGTTCAAGGGCGTCGTCTTGGAGCTCAGAGGAGAGGGTAACCGAGATGCGCGGGATTGCGACGGCGACGCGAGGGACGCGGCGACAACGATGCCGTCGTCCGAGGGCGTCCCCGCCGGATTGGCAGAGATGTTGCGCGCCGCGATGGGAGGCGGATCCGCGCGCGACCTCGACGTCGTCGCGACCCCGACGGCGGCGGGGACGCGCGGGAACACCGGCCCCGCGCCGCCTCCGCCGCTGATGGCGATGTTGAAGATGGCGTCCGTCGCGAGGGACGCGGAGATCGCGGACGCCGCGGCGAAATCGCTCGAGAATCTCGCGGCGATCAGAGACCGCTTCGAAGCCGCAGAAGATCTCGACGCGAGCGATGAAGAGCTCGTCGAGGGTGGCGTCGAGCTCGCGGTCGTTCGCAGGCTCCGACGCGTCGAGACCGCGGTGCACGCCCTCGAGGACGGGATCAGCGCGATGTTTCAAAAGCTCAACGCGCGGCTGGATCGCGCGGACGGCCGCGTCGAGGCGGCGCTGCATCAGCAGAGGATGCTGCACGCCCGGGAGATGGACGCGCTGAAGTGCGCGACGACGGATGGTCGGCGGGCGGACGCGACGCCGACGCCGGGGCGCGCCATCGTCGGCGGTGGCGAGGGGAAGAAGGTGGCGCACACGCGACGCGAGTGGGACGCGTACTCGAAGAAAGCCGCGCCGCCGCGGCTGACCCCGGGAGGCCAGGGCGTGAAAGATCGTGAGCGCGACGTCGGTGTCAGCGGCGGCGAGGAAGGGTACTACTGACGCGTTTCTATAGACTATTTTAAGGCGCGTCCTCCACACGCCGGTCCCCATACGGCCCCGTCCGCGTGGTGAACGCCGTTCCTTAAACTAGTCTAAGGACTTTCTCTCACGGCGTCCTCCTCGAGCGCGCGCGATCGCGCGGAACCAACGCCGACGCGCGGGAGGTCCGATCTCGGTCTCGCGTCGACCCCGCGCAGGGAGCCGACGTCGCTGAATCCGATTGGGTGAGACCCCGACGTGCCGAGGCGTCGTTCCGCCACCGGGTCCGCGACCGCACGCGACGGCGCCGCCGCGCTCGGGGCGTCGTACGACACGCGAAAGTCTCGGGTGGACAAGCGCTCGGTCCTTCGCCTCGCGTCCGAGCCGCCAATCTTCCCGGACAGCACCTTCGCGCGCGTCACCGCGGACGCGCCTACGCCCGCAGTGAACTTCGCGAGACCGCCGTCGTCCCCCTTGAGGTTCACTCGGCGACCCGGCTGGTGATCAAACCCCGACTTGTGCGTCACGCGCAAGTTAATTTCCGGAGCGTCCGGTGGGGGCTCGTACGCGAAATCCGCGCTCGGTCGAACCGCGTCGTCGTACCCTGGACCGTACGACCTGAATCCCGGAGCTCGCACGTCGCCTCCGCGGGGTTGATATCGATCCGCGGGCGAGAGAGCGGCGCGCGCGTCGACGCCGACATCCCGGGGCGGCGGCAGCACTCGTCTCCACGTCGTCTTCGATTTCCCCCGCGGCGACGTCGATTCGCGCCGCGCGTTGGCTCGCCCCCCGCGCGTCGGCTCGCCCCCCGTCGCCCTCGCTTGCTGAAGCTTCAGTGCTTTGCATACCCCGGAGAGGCCATAGTGCGTCGCGATCGCCTCACCTTCTTTCGAACCCGCCAGCGCGTCCTCTAACGCCGCGGCGCCGATGCGATCCTCGACGGATTTCACAAACGCGTCTATGGAGACGTACCCGCCGCCTTTTCGAACGATCATCGCCCTCTCCGAGCTCGCCATCGCGTCTTTGAACAGTCGCAGGGCACCAACCTCGGACTCCAAAGGCGCGATCCTCGCGCGCAAAGATTCGATGACGCGCTCGGTCTCTCGGCGGTACTGACGCGTGATCGACGACGCGGCGGCGAGCTTCTTCCAGTGCCCAAACGCGCGCCAGGAAATCGCGCGTAACATTTTCCTCAGCGCTTTGTGCCCCATTCGCTGCACCGCTGCCCAGCCACGCTCCGCAGCCTCGCGCCATCGCCGCGCGTCGTCGCGCGCCTCGTGAAGGAGTCGGTCCATCTCGTCCGTGTCTTCTTCGTCCTTCTCCGCGGCGACGACACGGACGCTCTCTCGCCACCTCGAAAACGCCAGTGCGATGGTCCGACGTACAATCCTCTCCATGTGCCTCCGCCGCGCGCGTTCGAGCACCGCGACCCTGTGCGCGTGCCTCTTCGCAACCTGCGCAACCCTTTGCCAGTGTTCTAAAGATTTCTGCGCCGCGCCGACCTGCGTCTTTTTCGCGACCCTCGCGGCGGCGGTTCGCAGCTTGTCCATCCCCTCTTCTGCTTTCCTCTCGAAGTAGTCCCGATCCTCCTTCAGGTCGTCCATCTCCCCTCGCAGCGCATCTCTCTCCGCTCGCAGCGACGATATCTGCGCCTCGAGCTCGGACACCTCGTCCTCCATCTCCGCGCCCTGCGCTTCCGCCATTTTCGTCTCCGCGGTCGCCCTCGCGAGGCTCCGCCAGCGCTTGAATCGTTTATTCATCGCGATGTGCGCGAGCTTTTTACACGCGCGATCCACTTTCAAAGCGAGTCCGAGCTTCGCGTTCGAACGCCACCGCGAGAAAAACTTCGCATCCTCCGCTCTCGACATCTTCTTCACGACGACTTCGACCGCTTTCGCTCTCGTGCGCGTCAACGTCTCTCTCTGCGTCTCGACGTCCGCGCGCGCGCTCGCGACTTGCTCTCTCAGCGCGTTCGCCTCGATCGTTCGCGCGTTTTCCCTCGCGACGACGCACGCGTGCTTCCACGCGCTAAACGCCGGCGCAATCGCGATATTTCGCATCCTCGCCAACGCGCTCTTCATGATCTTCTGTCGGCTCGCGTGAACGACGGCACGCAGCTCGTCGAGCTCGGTCGTGAGGGTGGCTATGACGACGTCGCGGTCCGACCTGGCGCGCGTGGCTTCGTTCGCGACATCCGCGAAGGCACTTGATTTTCCCTCCGCCGCGGCGACGATCGCGTTCGCTCTCGACACCACCGCGTTCGTCACCCACGCGCGGAACGTCCGCGCGGCGCGCTGCTTCTCGAGCGCGTCGACGTACCAACCGCGTCTCGTCGCGAGGTGCGCGGCCAACGCGTCGCGGTCGCGCGTCGCAGTCGCGGACTCGTCGCGAGAGCGCTCGATCGACGTCTGCGCTTTTTCCAGCGTCTCCTCGATCGCGTCTCGCACGGACGTCACGACGATTTGACGCCATCGCCTCCACGCCGCGCTCTTACGCGCGTGCGAGACGCGCGCGTTGAGATGCGCGAGCCCTCTTGCGAGGGCGACGGGCGCTGTGCGTTTAGCTCGCGCGTTCTCCGCGCTCGCTGCGTGCCACTCGATCGACAGCTCGACGAGGGACCTTTCCAGCTCTCGGATCGCGGCGTCACGGCGTCGCACGACCGCGCGCGCGGACGAGAGCTCCATCTCTAGCAGCGTCCCGGACCTTCGGAGCTCGTCCGTCACGACACATTGCTGACGGAACAGCTCCTCTTTCGTCGGGTGATACCATCCTCTTCGTTCACTCCAGATTTCGCGGAGCGGTGCGTTCGCGTCGGACTCGCGCGAGCGATGAAAGATCCTCGAGCGCACGGCCTCGATGACCGCGTCGGACGGGAGGTTTACCGCGCCGGAACGCTTCGCTTCGTTCCACGCGTCTCGCGCGCGTCGTTTCTCCGACGTCGCGCGCCCGTCCTCGTCGACGACGTCCTCCGCGGTGGGTTCCTGCGAGCGGCGGGTCGTCGGAGTCGTTCGTCAGTCGAGGCCGCGGGGGGTGGGTGTTGGAGGGGCACGGGGGAGCGGAACACGCTGCGATCGCGCGTCTGACCCCGGGGTTCAGCGTGCGGACGCACCGCGGGGTTTGTCATCGCGCGTCGACCTATGGACCTCTCCGTCCGAGAAATTTGAACTGTGTGCACTGAGCTGGTCAACCGCGCGGCGTTGCTCAAACTGATGATTGTTGCTACACGTACGTGTACGTGTACGTGTACGTGTACGTGTACACGTACACGTACTGTCTATTTGTAATCAGATACACACACGTACTGTACTGTACAACTACACGTGTACGAAAGTACTTTCGTACTTTGAAAGTACTTTCGTACGAAAGTACTTGTACGAAAGTACGAAAGTACGAAAGTACAAGTACTTTCGTACGAAAGTACTTTCGTACTTTCGAAAGTATGAATACTTTCGAAAGTACTTTCGCTTTCGTAAAGTAAACTACCTTCGAAGGTAGCTACCAGTATAGATCGTGTATCCTTTTTATGGAGCCCGACACAGCTGGGCGATTTCCACATCGCCCAGACTCCGTGCGCTCGTGAGGCTCACATGGGTTTCATGAATCCCGTCGTGGGGTTGCTTACTACGTGAGAGGATTGTTCGTAGTGTGGTCTGCTCGCATTTAGATCACATGTTTTGCCCGGATGGGTTAGAGCTCAGTCTTTTTGTACGAAAGTACGAAAGTACCTTCGAAGGTACCAAGGTAATCAGATACCACACGTACACGTACTGTACGTGTAGTGTACTGTACTTACTCGCATTTAGGTCACATGTTTTACCTGGATGGGTTAGAGCTCAGTCTTTTTGTAATCAGATCTACAGTACGCTCATCCGGTCCTACAGGTAGGCGCGGACGTGCGAGCGGAATACAGTACACTGTGTGTATATCTGATTACAAAAAGACTGAGCTCTAACCCATCCAGGTAAAACATGTGACCTAAATGCGAGTAAATACAGTACACTACACGTACAGTACGTGTACGTGTGTATCTGATTACCTTGGTACCTTCGAAGGTACTTTCGTACTTTCGTACAAAAAGACTGAGCTCTAACCCATCCGGGCAAAACATGTGATCTAAATGCGAGCAGACCACACTACGAACAATCCTCTCACGTAGTAAGCAACCCCACGACGGGATTCATGAAACCCATGTGAGCCTCACGAGCGCACGGAGTCTGGGCGATGTGGAAATCGCCAGCTGTGTCGGGCTCCATAAAAAGGATACACGATCTATACTGGTAGCTACCTTCGAAGGTAGTTTACTTTACGAAAGCGAAAGTACTTTCGAAAGTATTCATACTTTCGAAAGTACGAAAGTACTTTCGTACGAAAGTACTTGTACTTTCGTACTTTCGTACTTTCGTACAAGTACTTTCGTACGAAAGTACTTTCAA